AGGGTTTGTCCGGGTGGCTTCCCTGACCATCCCTCCAGCCTCGGGTTCCTGCACGTATGTTTCTGGACTCAGGCTCATCTCAACCTGTAATTTTTATTCCTGTGGCAGCAACGGGGTTAAGAAACAAACCTTATCTGTTGACCCACCTCGGGCTTCTGATATGCTTTGCTCCATTAATAATTTAGTGAGGTGGACTGAATTGGATTGATTTCCCCCCAAAATCAATACACAAATGATTATTGTTTCAGGGCACTTCTGAGTGCTTTGGCAGGGCCGAGGGGACCTGTGTGATTGAAGACTGGAGCTGTGCTCAGCATCCAGAATGACTGCTGAGAGGGTTATGTAAACCAGAGGTGAACTGGTGCTAACATTTTTATTGCAATAAAAGCCTTTTCCCTTTTCTAAACGGTGCTTCTACGACACACGTGCCATCACTGTTCCCGGCCTATAATTTTAAAATGACCGCTCGATACTGGAGGTGAAGTGGTTTTACTGCTGCTGGTCTATTAAAGTTGTGAGAGCCAGCGAGAGCTTGGAGATCGCCTATGGCTGGATGTGTGTGGCCACACCAAGCCCATCACCGTAGATGTGCCTGCAGATGTCCCAGGGCTGGGTCAGTGAGTGGTGGCGGGAGAGGGTGGGAGGTGGAGGGGGTGACGCCTGGGCCCCTTACGTGGTGGCTCCCCCCAAAGAACGGGAAGAGACCCAGGAGCCGCACCAAACCCAAAGCAGCAATGCGGGCTGGCTGCCTCCTCTCTCACAGGTAGAAATGTTGTGATAACCCTGAGTTTTACTGGTTTATTTCCACTGTATTTTTTTGTGGTAAAATATACATAACACAAAATTTACCATTTTAACCATTTCAACGTGTGTGGTTTAGTGGCATGAAGCACATTTACATGGTTATGCAACCATCGCCACCATCTGTCTCCCAACTCCCCCCACCCCCAAACTAAAACTCTGTCCACATTAACCACTGACTCCCTCCAGCCCCTGGTCACCACCCTTTTAATCTGTCTTTACGAATTTGAACTCTAGGTACCGCATGGAAGTGGAATCACACAGTATTTGTCATTTTGTGACTGGCTTATGTCACTTAGCATAATGTCCTCAAGGTTCATCCATGTTACAGCCTGGGCCAGAGTGTCCTTCCTCTTAAAGACTGAATGATATTCCATCGTGGGGGTTTACTCCTTTCTGTTTATCCATTTACCTGTCAATGTGCTTGGACATTGTGAATCATGTTATGAACATGACTGGGTAAGTATTTCCTGAAGCTCCTGCTTCCAGTTCTTTGACTACGTGCCCCAGAGTGGAATTGTTGAGTAATATGGTAGTTCTACGTTTAACTTTTGGAGAAACTGCCAAACTATTTTCCATAGTAGCTGCACTATTTTATATTCCCATCAGCAATGTGCAAGGATTCTAACTTTTCCATGTTCTTGCTAACACTTGCTATTTTTCTTCTCTCTCTCTCTTTCTAATAGTCATCTTAATGGATATAAAATGGCATCTCATTGTGATTTGTATACTTTTAGTATTTTGCAAATTCTAATAAACCTTAATCCCCTTTCCCTAAAGCGATTTTTCCTCTCCTTACCCCCTGATGTGTACTCCCACCATGTGATTTAAAAGTTGTACGGTATTAGATGCCGTTCAGAAATCCCATAGTCACAGGCTTTCATGTTTGTTTCTACTTAAGTGGCTGCGATTTTAAAACATCATTTGAGAAGCAGGAATTTAAATGTCTGTGAGAGAAAATAGCCTTTTAGAAGACACTGTCTTGGGAGGCTCATCGGCAGGGGCCCCAGAAGAACCTTATAACGCACCAGGGAGGGGCTCTGCCCACGGAGGCACCAGCTCAGCGCAGACAGACCTCTCCTCTGGCCGCTGGCTCGCCAGTAGCTGGCCTTGGGTGTTCGGAATGCTTCTCTCCAGGGGCCTGGGCCCTGGGAGGGCTGCTCACAGTCCTCCAAATGCACTCTGGCTCTGCGTCTTGACTGGTATCCTGGCAGAGCAGAGGAAGAGTCAGAATGAGTTCTGGGAAGAGTGGAAATGTTCTGAGAACAGGAGTTGGCTGGAGAGGGGTTTTGGTAGGCAGGGCTAGTCCCATAGGATCCTGAGGCTCAGGTTAAAAACTCTGAAGTCTGTTCTGTGGCATTTTCTGCAGGGACATGAGTCACTTGGCTCATTAACAATATGAGTTGTTGATGGGAGGCTGGTGATCACTTAGGAGGCTTCTGCAGAGAGAGGTCCCGGAGAGAGGGGATGGCGGCTGGGACCAGGGAGGTGGCCGTGGTGATGGAGAGAAGTGGACAGACTGGAGATACACGCGGGGACTATCAGCATTAGTGGTGGGCGGTGTGGGAAGATTGGAGAAGTTATTTTCTCAGGAAGTGATGTGGCTCCGAGCTGAGCTGGTGCAACAGGGAACGTGAGGATGGGGAGGTGTCCAGGCTAGCGTTCAGGTGGGACAATGAAGGGTTTGCCTTCTTTGGAGGCATCTGCACTAAACCTGGACCAGGGAGTTGTAGGACCTTGTTTCAGTTTCAAGCCACTTTTGACCTTTGACCCTCAAATACTGTATACTCTAACTATTTGAAATCAAGAAAGATAATCACCATTCAACTCAGCATCCTCTACGTAGTATTCAGCAACCAATTGGATAGGAGAGGGCTTAAGTTTGCATTTGCAAGTAGGCAAATGGCGGAGGGGGTGAGCGGACTCTCCAGAGGCGTGGCTTACTCTGTCCTGTGGCAGCCTCAGGGCATGCAGCCTCTGGGTGGGGACTATCTGAAGTGTCAGTGTCCATTGTTCTGGACAGAGATTTATGGGGGACACCTGGGTGCTCCTTCCCTCTCTCTTCTGCTTGTCCCCTTCTTCTCACTCCTGGAAGAGATTGCAGAAGGCCTCACTGGCCCACAGTCCACATCTCATGGGACACACATGAGTGACAGCATCTTTGCTTCTTCCTGCCTCGGAAGGCAGATTCCCACTTGCAGGACCGTGGTCCTTGCTGGGCCCTTCTGCCCTGCTTCTCCCTCACATTCTCAGGGTCTATTACTTTGCAACGCCCTCTTTCATACTGAATTATCTACTACTTGGGAGATTATGGGTTGTGTGGGATAGAAAGCTCATGCCAGTACAGGATGTTTGTTAAAAGGTTGCAGAGGCGGAGGGAGCAGGTGCCTGCAGCCAGGCTGTGGAGTCCTGCAGCAAAGACAGGGCTGCTAGAAACTATTCAGACACGGTGAGATGGTTTGGGGGAGAGGCCTGGGCCAGGCGACTCCCAGAAAAACGCCCCCTCTCACCTAGGGCAGCAGCCTCCAGAGGCAGTAGACCACGGAGGGACTAAACCAGAAATGGTATGTCAATCAGTCTCAACATGGGCAGGGTTTAAGCCTGGCAGGAGGACTCAAAGACCCAAAGAAGCAGTCAGTGGCAAAATGAATTATGTTTTAAAAATAAACGGGAAAAGTCTATGATGAACAAATGATTAAACGTGTAAATAAAGATAGGTTGTCGTTTGTTTTATGACCCTGCACTGTTGTGCAGCGGTTCCCAGGGAGGTTGGTGGTCCCCTGCCGTGTGGCTTCATGGGGGTTGACAATGAAGTGTTACCAGATTTAGGCAATCTAGAGCTTTAAAATAGTCATGTTTTACGATTGTAGAACTTTGGTCCAAAATATGGGAGGATGTTTTGATGGGTATATTCAGAGGGTCATCTTTTTCTTTTGGCCTCAGGCTCTTAGTAGGACTCCTCATGGCATTGGTCTTAAGCCTGGATTCCTTACCAGTATGTAACGCATTATGGACATTGAAGTGGGAACAAAGCCGCGAACAAGAAAAAACAGGAAAACTAACAGGTGCTGTGTCCACAGCTTTTATTAACATAGCACCAGTTCCTCTCAATGCTCTCTCTTAACAGTCTCTGGTCAAAGGTGAGAGAGGGGGGATGAGAGGGTCCTGAGCCCCAACTGGGGCGGGCAGGCCATACCAGCCTCCGTGCCAGGAGCCTCTGGGGACGTCGGGTCTCACATCATTCTCAAGGAAGGAGGGCTGACCTGCTTGGCCCTAAATGGCCTCCTCCACCCTTCTTTCTGTCTCTCCAGGTTTCTGCTTCTTCTGAGCCCAGCCACTCGACTCACTGCTTTCTCAGATGGTGGCCCTATTCTGAGAAGCAGGCCTCCTCTCCATTTCCCAGTGTCGCACGGCTGACCGGATAGCTCAGGGCCCCTGGGAGGGGTGCGTTTCCAAAAGCCTCTTAGAGTGGCCGCCAGTATCCCCTCAGAGGCCTGGCTGTGCACAGAGGGGCTCATCTCAGGGATGTGGCCCCTTGGGCTGTGGCAAACGAGGGCGTCAGGTCGGCGGGGCAGGAACCTGAGCCACCACATGCTGTGCTGCCCCCAGGCCTCCCGAGCAGCCGAGTGGAGCTCCTTTCTCTCCTCCCCGCGCTGCCAGCACTCGTGGGCGCCGGGCTCCACGGCCGGAGGCCCGGCCGCCCGCCGCTGACCCGGCCCCGGGGGAGGCCCGCGCCCGGCTCGGGGCAGAGGGCGGAGGAGCGGGGCGCGGAGCTGTCCAGCACCGAGCAGGGCGCGCGCCCCCCGCCCGCCGCCTCCCGCCCAGCGCCACTGCGGCTCGCGGGCGTCACGTGGCCGGCGCGGCGGCCGCGGAGCTCTGGGCGCGCGGCGGGCGCGGGGCCGGCGGGAGGACCGGACCTACGGACCCAGCGCCGGCGGCACAGGCGGGCGGGCTGCGGGCGCGGCGCGGGGCATGGGCCCGCCGGCGGCCCCCGGGCACAGGCCGGCCGCGGCGGGGCGCCCGGGGCGGTGGGGCAGCGGCGGGCGGGGGTCCTCCCTGGCGGCCGCCGCGGAGCCCCCTCGGGGCCCGTGACGCCGCGGCCGATGTGGCCCCGCGCGCCGCCGGCCTGCGCCGCCGCCGCCGCCGCCTCGCCAGGACGCCGCCGCCCGCGCCGCCGCGGGAGCCGGAGCCGGAGCCCGAGCCCGAGCCCGAGCCCGAGCCCGAGCGGGCCCCGGGGGGCCGGAGGCGGGCCTGCCGGCGGCCGCGGCGGGCATGGAGCGGCGGGCGGCCGCGGGGCCGGAGGGGGCGCCGGGCGCCCGGGCGCAGCTGGCGGTCGTCTGCCTGGGTGAGTGGGCCGCGCAGGCCGCGGAGTGCGGGCCCGGGTCCCGCAGACCCCGCCGCTCCGGACGGGACCCTCCGCCCCACCCCTCCCTGCGCCGGGCTTCCGGAGCCGGGCCTGCCGTCCCGGGCCTGGTGGGCGGCCCCGGCCGGGCTCCTGCCCCGTGCGGCGCGGCTCAGCACAGGGGCTCGGGGCTCAGGGGCTCGGGGCGCAGGGACTCGGAGCTCAGGGGCCCAGGGCGCAGGGGCCCCGGGCATAGGGGCCCCGGGCAAAGGGACTCCGGGCGCAGGGGCCCAGGGCACAGGGGCCCCGGGCAAAGGGACTCGGGGCACAGGGGTCGGGGAGCAGGGGCTCCCGGCGGGTGGTGCGCAGGGGGCTGTGCGTGCTGGTGGCGGCGGGCGCCCGGGGCCTCCGGAGCCTCGGACAAAGGCAAGGTGGCTGTCCCCCAAACCCCCAAGAAGTCTCCTTTTCCTTCCCAGAGTCAGGGTTGGGGGCTGACCGGAGCCTGGACTCAGGATGCCAGGCCGGAGGCCGCTTCCAGAATGCTCCAGTCTCCCTTCTGTGTTTTCTCGGGACCAGGGACTAGCCCTTCAGTTCGGTGGTGTCTGGGGAGGGCCGAGGGACCTGCCAGGAGGGCTCCTACCCTACCCGCCTTTCCAGGCCCTGTGGGGGGGAGAGAAGGAAAGAGTTAATTAGGTCCTCAGTGCACATGGCCCCTTTATTTACCAGGAGAAAGGAGGGAGGCCATTATCTGAGCCTGGGGTCATTCCTGGACTCCCTGTGGTGTCACTGAGGAAGGCACTGTAACCCCATAACTTTGCTGAAGCCCCTGAAATGACAAAGTAAAAAAGAAACCTGAAGGTTTGGAGCTGCATGATCCCCTGTCCTGCAAGGATCAGGATGCTGTGTGTGTGTGTGTGTGTGTGTGTGTGTGAGGGAGAGGGGGGGAAAAGGGGTGAGAGAAGACACCTGCCTCTTGTATGAGCTTCGAAGTGCTCCCTCCCCAACCTATTGGTGGTCTGTGCTCTGGACTCAGTGCTGGGTGGGCTTCCCGGCGAGCTGGGCAGGCGCGCAGGCTCTCTGGCTTCCCAAGGCCCTCCCTGCCCAGACGTGGCCCAGAGCCTGGTGCCCTGAGAGGGGCCAGTGTCCCTGCTTCCTCAGCAGGAGGGGTGGACCCCTCCCGCGACACCCTCTGCCTTCCTTGGCTCACTTGATGTTGGGTGGTGGGGCGCCCTGAACTCTGCGAAGTTGGGTTTGCCCATGTCCTCCTCCGGGCTCCCCTGCAGGAAAGCCGTACGTGAAAGCAGAGGACAAACCCAGGAGGCGGGTAGTTGAGGGGTGGGTGGCAGGAGAGTTCTTTGCCTCCCTTCTCAGGGTTAGTGTGGCACAGTAAAGACCCCCTGCCCTCTGCCCTCTGCTAGGCGTGCACCCTGTAAAGTGGGGCGATCTGAACGACTTTCCTACCTCCTGGCTGGCAGTGGCTGCGGAGCCTAAGCCAGGGCCCCTCTCTGATGGGTGGTCCAGGCCCGAGCTTCTCAAGCCCAGCGGGAGACAGGAACGTACCCCCTCCCAAGTGAGTTAGAATCCGTGTGTGCGGAGCGGCAGGAGCGGTCTGGGGCAGCCAGGCTGGCGCACGGCTCTCCTGCTGGGTGTGCGGGTGGGTTCTGAGACCTGTGGGTCCCTCAGGCCCAGGCTGGAGCAGCAGCCTCTGGAGCAGCGCTCTGAGCTCTTGCTCTGTGAGAGGGAGAGAGCCAGCCTGGAGCTCGGGCTATGCTGTCTTGTGCCCCTGAACGGCAGATGCCTAGGTCCCAAGAGCCACCCTCCCCTGGACCCTCTTTCTGTTTTTCACAGTGAACATTGTTCTCGCCGGCCGGCTCAGCAGCGCGGTTCCCGCTTTAGGTGAGTGAGTTCCCCTCCTTTCTCCCTTCTTCCCTGACCTCTGAGGACAGGCCGTAAGGTCCGGGTCTGCCTCTGAGGTCAGTCCTTTGTGTATCTTTTCTGCATCCCAAAGAGGCCGTTTGACTTTAGGCAAGCTCACACTTCCCCGAATGTCAGCTTCCACGTCTATAAAATGGGCGCAATAGTAAGATTTACTTCAAAGCCTTTATTAGGGTTGAATGAGCGAACGATGTAAGGTACTCAGCATGGTATGACACATAGTGGCTTAATACCAGCTAGCAAACTGTCACGGGCCTGGTTTCATTGACAGGATGTACTTCCTGTAGGCTATGGGGCTCCCCAAGGGCCATGAGCTGCCATGAGATGTTGCCTTTTTTCAAGTTATACCTGGGGTTTAATTGATAAAGGTGTGACTGAGTGATGACACGGCGAGATCAATGCCACTGACAGAAGCTGTTACGTGTGTGTCTTGAGAGGAAGGGATACTGGCCACACCACGCAGGGCCAGGGGTTTGGTGAGGTTTGATGGAGGGGAGGCCAAGGCCAGAGCATCAGCTGGAGTCTCTGTGGGAACATCAGGGCAGGGCAGGGGAGACAGCTTAGAGCTGGCTCGGACGGCCTGGGACAGGGAAATGCTGGCGTGGGGTGTGACTCAGATAAGGAGGTGGGTGGGGGCTCAGCCTTGGATCGGCTGGGCTGCGGAAAGGCGGGCTCCAGACAAGCTGGCACGCAGGAGAGAGGTAAACACGCTGACCGAGAGCTCGGCCCTGCAATTAGTGGATGCCAAGCAGACACACAGTATCCGCGAAAACACAGGTGCAGCTGTGCCCCTGCCTTTGCCTGTCAGACCGGGTCTGTCCATCTCCTGGCCGTCTCTGTGCTTGTGCCCAGTGCCTGGTCCCGCGAAGACTGTCAGGAGAGGGAAGGTGGACGAGGCCATGAGGGCTTTTGCTCTTTGCTGAGGGGGTTGCCAGGGTTTGGCAAATGGGTAAGTTTAGCCTCTCATGGCCCTTGCTGCCACCGGGAGACGTCTAGGAAGGGCCTCAGGAAGCTGGGAGAATGTGCGGTCCCCAGCGTGGGTGCCTGCTGATGTGCTTGCTGTCTGCCCTGCTGCACGGAGGCAGGAGATACGGGACTTGTAGTTCTGCTCAGGGCTCAACTTTAGCAGAAACTCGCTGAGGTTGGTTCAGAGGGAGGTGTGTCTGCTAGCCAAGGTCACTGGGACGGGAGGCCCAGAGTCCACAGAGCACTCCCATGGGCCCGTCTCTCAGCACGGCCTGTCCGCCTCCTCCCGATTCTCCTTGCACACTGGCTCCGGCTTCCTGCAGCCCGGCCTCCGCTGCTGACTCTGCTGGCCCAGGGCCCTGCCTTGCTCAGCACGGAGTCAGCCCAGCCCTCCATTTCCAGGAGAAGCCTGGCTGGCTGTGAGGGAGTGGGACGGTGTGCAGGTCTTACAGATGTGAGGCCCGGCCAGCCCTGCTGCTGCTGTGGTGGGTTGACATTGGCTGCCACATGCGTGTGCCTCAGTGTGGAAGAGTGATGCTACGGGCATGAGGTTCACCTCCAGAGCCAGGGAGGGAAAGCAGCCTCCAGCGCCGCACATTGGTTGTTCTTAGCTATCAAGATCTCAGCCCGGGAGGGTCCACACTGTCCAACCCCAGGCCTCTGTCCACACCATGGTGCCTGTGGACACGGTCCCCGGTGTCCTGAGCTGCAAATAGTCGGTGTGGCCACAGGTGGTGGTTGGGGTCCTGGCGCTTCCGGAGTCCAGCCCTGACCCCTCTAGCATTGCTAAGAGACAGCCTCTCGCTCCCTGAGGCCCTCTCCCCCTCTGACCCTAGGCTCCATGGTTACATTTTCAGGATTTTCCCTGTGTCTCCGACTGTGAGCATCCTGGATCAGGACTGTCCCCCTGCCCCTTCCCAGTCCTCACTAGGCTCAGACCCTCCTGAAGGCCTGGCTGGCTGTCCTGGGGATCTCAGCCCCGGACTGATGCCCCCTGCAGCTGGGACTCTGGGCGCCGCCCGGTGGCCGCTATGCCCAGGCTGGCTTGGCAGGTCTCCAGGCTATTCTGCACTCACCTGGCAGCTTCTCTGAGCTTCTGGGGTGGGGTCCCAGCTTCCTGGCCCGTGACAGCAGGCAGGTTGTCTGGGGTATTGTGGCCTTTAGAGACCGGGTCTGCAGTTGTGCTCCCTCAGGCTCAGGCCCTCTCAAGAGTATGTGATGAAGGCAAGGCGCTCGCTGCTCTAAAAATGTCCTGTCATCTCTTGCCCACTTGAGCAGGCCACTTTGCCACCAGGGCCAAGGGGATTTTCTGCCCGAGTGAACACAGGTCCCCTCCAGCTAAAGCTCTGCTACATCTCTCTGAGTGCTTCCCAAACACCCCCAAATCTTCTGTTCTGCTTCAGTATCTCCCCAAACACACAGTCCTCCCAGCTCCCCTTACTGCTGGCCCATATCCCACACCCTGTCAAACCCTCCACTCCCATGCATGTCTGCCTGCCACTTTCCCCAGATTTCCCAACCATCCTCAGAGAAGTGCACCCCGGACCACATTTTAGGGAGGGACAAGCAGAGGCCCCAAGATGGGGTTCATTAGCCACTTCCTCCTGCCTGTGCCTGATTCTGTGCTGGATGGGCTTCCTGCTTCCTGGGCTGGTTGTCTGAGCTGGCGGTACCCTCCAAGTCCATCGCCAAGAGGGTTCCAGTCCGGAGGCCCTGACCAGAGCCCCCAGCTCCCTGCACTGAACCCGGCCTCCCTCTGCTCCACATTCCCTCTGGGGCGGGGCTGACACAGCTGTGCTCTCCGTGGCCCCCGGGGAGAAGAGCAGGCAGTGACGCAGTGACGTTGTTGCCCTGGATGTGGGAATTTCTGGGGCAGCTCTGGGGGCCCGCAGGAGCGAGGCTGTTTGGGGGATGTGCTGTCGGAGGCTCTCTTAAGAGGCAGAGCTGGCCTGGCCACTGTCCAGTCATCTGCCCCGACGTGTCTGGTGGTCTGAGACGGGCCTCCTGACCCCTGGGAGAGAATACTTCTCCTCCAGACACAGGTCCCGGAGGGAGGAGTATTCCGGCCAGAGAGACGGCCCGCAGCCCTGGCTTTCCCGCCGTGCGGGAGGGAAACCCGGCCTCGGGAGTGTCCGTCCTGGGGAAGGCGTCCAGGCCGCCGCAGGTATAGACGGCCCTGCTCTGCCCAGTCCTGTCCTGGGGCCGAGGACACAGTGCTCCCAGCTTGCCTGACCCGGGCCCCTGCCTCAGCGGCCAGTGCTCCAGTTTAACGCGCTTCAGAGCTCCACATGGGGGAAGATGCGCTCCAGCAGCCTAGGGCTGTGGTAGGCAAACTGCGGCTCACGAGCCACATGCGGCTCTTTGGCCCCTTGAGTGTGGCTCTTCCACAAAACATCATGGCCTGGATGAGTCTATTTTGAAGAAGCGGCGTTATAAGAAGTTTTAAGTTTTAAAAATTTGGCTCTCCAAAGAAATTTCCATCGTTGTCCTGTTGATATTTGGCTCTGTGGACTAATGAGTTTGCCGACCACTGGCCTAGGCCCTCCCTGCCTGTGACCCTCCCACCCAGCACCTTCCAGAGGAGAAGGTCTCTTCTGGTTTGCATAACCCCTCACCTCCCAGGGTGTCTCCAGGCCAACAGCGAGGGGCCCTGCGAGTCCACAGAGCTGGTGGCCTCACCTGTCAGAGGGAATGGCCAGGCCATTGTGTTCGTTTAGTCCTTCCTCTCCTGGCCTGTGACCAATGCATCGCTCCCATTTTATGGGTGAGAAATCTGAAGGTCAGGGGGGCTGGTCTTCTAGGCTGAGCGCCAAGTGGAGAGTCTTGGCTAGTGCCTCTCTGACCTGGCTATTGAGGCTCAGGGTGAACTGAGCGAGGTCAGCCTTGCTCTAGGGTCAGGGTGTGTGTGTGTGTTTCTCTTCTAGTCCTTTGGATTTCTTGTGAGCTGTGGAATGGGGTCTTTACTCGCTGGCCATCACAGTATTGGGTCATGGCAGGCCCCATGGGAGGGGGTTTCATGCCTCTGAGTGCTAAGCAGGTGCATGGGCTGACCAATTCTCGTTGACCCATATTTATTGTGCACCTACTGTGTGCCAGGCCCTGTGTGGGACCCTGGGGACACAGTGTTGAGCCAGAGCCAGTGCAGCTCAAAGGGAAATTGCTCTGAGGCAGGTGCTGTGGAGGAGAGAAGGGGAGGGGACTGGAGCCCCATAGGAGGGTCCCCTGGGGAAGGGGCCACTGGGCTGCAGCCCATAGAAGTGGGTGGGCTAACGGTCAGGGAGAGCATCCTGCCAGGGGCCACAGGACAGAGTTTCCCTCCCAGGGGAGGTACACAGGAGGTATGAGTGGAAAGATGGGTTATTGGGGGAGATGATGCAGAAGAGGTGGGTGGTGCCACTGTGATGAGTTCTGTCCTGGTCCTAAGAGCATGAGAGATGGCTGGCGGGCTTTCCACCCCCCAACCCCTCCCAGTGTGCAGCTGTGTGAGAGTCAGCAGGGACCCTGCTTCCAGGCGAAGAGGAAGGTGCCAGGCCGTGGGAGAGTGGGGAGGTGATGGCACTGGACCCGGGTCGTCACGTGTCTTCCTGAGCCCCAGGTTTCCTGTCTGTATAAGAGCCCGCCTTTGCCACAGGCTTTTGGGAGGATTCGAGAAGCAGTGGGGTGAAGGGTTGAAGGGGCAGTGAGGAGTGGGGGCAGCCGAGTGCAGATCCTGGGAAGGCTGGGAAGTGGAGGGCATGTATAATGCAGAGGGTAGAGTGAGCCTGTGGTGAGGGGAGCTGTGGGGGGGGGGGGGCATGGTGACCCCTCACTCACGCTGGCAGGTGTGACCTCTGCACTGGTCCTCACTCAGCACAGCACATGGTGACACTTCATAAATGCGCTGGCGCAGGCATGGCAGTGAGAACGGAGCCCAACAGAGGAACAGGGTGGACTCTGACTGCCACTCACTGGCTGTGTGCCGTGGCTGGCCACTTACTCTCTCTGAGCCTCAGTTTCCTCATCTGGTTACGAGATCTACCTCCACTTATGCTCAGGATAAAGCCTAAGTTCTGTGTAATCAGACCCAGCCTGTGTTTCCAGCCCCATCTGGACATTTGCCCCTCCCTTCAGGCCCGTTTTTTAATTTTTGTTCCACGCAGGGGACCTACGTACGGTCAGTCTGACCCCCTCCCTCCCCGCGTCTGAGTCCCCCAGAGCAGGGTGTTTGCCTGATTATTCAGCGTGCCTAGCACTGTGTTTGGCACATAGTAGGTACTCACATCTGTGCTGGATGACTAGAGCTTCTTCCCTTTCAGGCTGAGGACTCTGTTTGTCAAGTCCCAGGGAGGGCAGGCTGGCCCAGGGGTGCAGAATTCTTAACTGAACTGAGGTGCCAAGGCCAAGACGTCGCCCCTCAGAGGTGCCAAGGGGAGTTGTTGGTGGGCACGCTTCCGGCCCTGCCAGGGATGGGCGATAAGACCTGGGCCGTGGTGCACAGGTGGGGCTGGGGCTACGGCTGCCCTGAGGCCATGTGGGCGCTCCTTGCCCCTCCATATGCACCTCTTGCATGAAGTCTCGAGCAGTGGCCTTGCCCTTGGCTGTGCCCCCTTGGCCGGCCTTTATCACACCTGGGAAAGGCCGGTGCTCAAGCCATAGCCCCGCCTCCTGCCCAAAGGTGAGGCCAGCACTTTGCCTCCTGTCCTGCCAGCGGCCTGCAGCGGGAAGCTGGAGCAGCACACAGAACGGCGCGGCGTCATCTACAGCCCGGCCTGGCCCCTCAACTACCCGCCGGGCACCAACTGCAGCTGGTACATCCAGGGTGACCGCGGTGACATGATCACCATCAGGTATGGGAGTCCCCGGCGGGTGTCCGCGGGAATCTATATGGGTCTGCAGTGCTAAGGGTGTGTGTGTGTGTGTGTGTGTGTGAGAGAGAGAGAGCGGGAGGGTGGGGAGAAAGAGAGAGAAAAAAAGAGAGAGAGGGAAATAGAGTGCATGAATATGATGGTGCATGTGACTGAGTGCATATGTGGGCAGGCATGGAGTACATGTGCAAGCATGTAGGTGAGCATGTGTGAGCAGGTGTGGAGGGCACATGTGAGTGTGTGTGTGAGCACATGCGTGTGCTTGTGTATGAGCTCAATGAGAGCAGGTACAAAGGACATGTGTGAGTGTGTGAACACATGTATGTACATGAGCACATGTCTGAGCACGTTTGAGGACAAGTGTGGGCAGGTGAGTGTGCAAGTGTAGTGTGAGAGTCAGGTGTGAACATGTGTGAGCTGTTAGCAGATGAGTGCTGTGAGCATGTGAGTGTGCAGCTCACAGGTCTCTGTGGGCCGCTGTGGCTGCTACAAGGAGCTGGGCCTGGTCTTGCCCTGAGCCCCCGGGGGGGGGCTGTGGGGCTGGCAGGAAGGGAGCCCCAGGCCGGTAGGCATGGTCTAGCTCTCTCTGAGGTGGCAGGGTATCTTCTCTGTCCTGCAGGGGTGGCTTGCAGCGAGGCTGGCACGGACCCCAGAGCAGGTTTTCCCGGGGTCCTCAGGGCAGTCTTAGCAGGAGCCCACGTGCTCCAGCTGCAGGACACGTAGGGGGAAATGGAGTGAGGTGACCAGATGCTGGAACTGAGGCTGGAACTCCTGGCCTGGGTGGCCATGGGGATATTTGGCTGAGTCACTCTCCTAAATGCCAGTGCCCAGAAGGCCCCGTTACTCCTTAGCTCCAAAGCATGGGATGTGCTGGCACCATCAGGGTGTCTTAGTCTGTGCCTGCTTTCCCGTGGCCACAGGGCTGTGGCTCTCAGGCACACTCTCTTCAGACTTCACCCTCCTCCAAAGACTGTGGGCCTGCGACCTGCTGGTCCCACAGCCTGGGCCAGAGGCCAGGGCTGATGTATTTCTTCCCAGGTGATAAGCTGTCACCTACCCCAGCCTAACCCAGCCCTGGGGCATGCCCCTCCCCCACAGTGCACAGCCTGTGAGTTTGGGCAGGGTCTATCCCAGCAGGCCCAGTGTGGGTGGGATCTGGGTCCTTGGGGCCCCCATTTGGGAGGATATCAGGGGAGGGAATTGCCCAAGATGGGGCTCCTGACTGGGCCTCCACTTGGGCTTTGGGGTAGGGATGCTATGTGTGTGCTGACAAGGCCTTCCCAGAGCCGCAGGGGCTGATGTTTTATTTTTCTCGGGTCTGCCCTCAGATCCCCGGGTGTCAGGGAGTGGAGGAGAGGAGGCGCAGGGCGGGCTGGCCATCTTGTTCTAAGCTCAGGCCTGATTGTTCTCTGCTGGTCCTTGGCCACACGGGCCCTGCCTGCCTCCCCACCCTTGCAGCTTCCGCAACTTTGATGTGGAGGAGTCCCACCAGTGCTCCCTGGACTGGCTCATGCTGGGCCCGGCGGCCCCGCCCCGCCAGGAGGCCTTCCGGCTCTGTGGCTCTGCCATCCCGCCCGCCTTCATCTCCGCCCGGGACCACGTCTGGATCTTCTTCCACTCTGACGCCTCCAGCTCCGGCCAGGCCCAGGGCTTCCGTCTCTCCTACATCCGAGGTGACTCAGTGCAGCGTGGGGCGCCCGGGCCAGAGCAGTACCCTCCATCCGCCCGCTCCCTAACGGTCTCCTCCAGGAACCCCAGCAGGCTGAGCACAGGGGTGGGACGGGGACGCAGCACGCTGCCGCCTCAGGGTGCCCTGGAGTCCCTCAGGGTCACTGATCTCACTCCTGACTTGGTTAGAGTGGGGGCTCACGCCTTCTCCCCAGCTCACGCTGAACCCTCAGGCCAGGGACTTCGTTTACCTGGCATTCCAAGGGGTCATTATGCCTCAGGAGCCATGAGCGGCCAGGGCTCCTCCTCTTCCGAGGCCCTGCAGAGGCCCGGGGGAATGGGGGAGCCACCCTGCCGGTTTCCTGCCCGAAGGCCCCATGCTGCAGGAGGCGCTGCTGTCCCCCGACTGTCTTCCCCGCTGTCTCCATCCCACAGGGAAACTGGGCCAGGCTTCCTGCCAGGCGGACGAGTTCCGCTGTGATAACGGCAAGTGCCTGCCGGGCCCGTGGCAGTGCAACACCGTGGACGAGTGCGGCGACGGCTCCGACGAGGGCAACTGCTCGGCGCCCGCCTCCGAGCCGCCCGGGAGCCTGTGCCCCGGGGGCACCTTCCCCTGCAGCGGGGCGCGCTCCACGCGCTGCCTGCCCGCCGAGCGGCGCTGCGACGGCTCGCAGGACTGCGGCGACGGCTCCGACGAGGCCGGCTGCCCCGACCTGGCGTGTGGCCGGCGGCTGGGCAGCTTCTACGGCTCCTTTGCCTCCCCAGACCTGTTCGGCGCCGCCCGGGGGCCCTCGGACCTGCACTGCACGTGGCTGGTGGACACGCAGGACCCGCGGCGGGTGCTGCTGCAGCTGGAGCTGCGGCTGGGCTACGACGACTACGTGCAGGTGTACGAGGGCCTGGGGGAGCGCGGGGACCGCCTGCTGCAGACGCTGTCCTACCGCAGCAACCACCGGCCCGTGAGCCTGGAGGCCGCCCAGGGCCGCCTCACCGTGGCTTACCACGCCCGCGCCCGCAGCGCCGGCCACGGCTTCAACGCCACCTACCAGGTGAAGGGCTACTGCCTGCCCTGGGAGCAGCCGTGCGGGGGCGGCCTGGAGGGCGAGGCGGGCGACGCGGGCGAGCAGGGCTGCTTCTCGGAGCCCCAGCGCTGCGACGGCTGGTGGCACTGCGCCAGCGGCCGCGACGAGCAGGGCTGCCCGGCCTGCCCCCCCGGACCAGTACCCCTGCGAGGGGGGCAGCGGCCTGTGCTACGCGCCCGCCGACCGCTGCAACAACCAGAAGAGCTGCCCGGACGGCGCCGACGAGAAGAACTGCTTCTCCTGCCAGCCCGGCACCTTCCACTGCGGCACCAACCTGTGCATCTTCGAGACGTGGCGCTGCGACGGCCAGGAGGACTGCCAGGACGGCAGCGACGAGCACGGCTGCCTGGCGGCCGTGCCCCGGAAGGTCATCACCGCCGCCCTCATCGGCAGCCTGGTCTGCGGCCTGCTGCTCGTCATCGCCCTGGGCTGCGCCTTCAAGCTCTACTCCCTGCGCACGCAGGAGTACAGGTGGGCGGGGGGCCAGGAGCCTCCTCGGCTTCTTCGTTCCTTTGGCGAGGGCTCCGGGCTCCCTGCTCCCACAGCTGTGGGTAGATGGGGGCTCGGGCCGTCCGTGGGGGACTTCTCTTGTGCATCCAGGGCCCAGGCGTCTCAGGATGTCTGGAGGGTGTGGCGGGGCCCACATCCTGTGGGAGCCCTTGCCCGGTGCCTCGTGGGATGTGGGAGTGCGGGGTCCCGGCCAGCCCTGCTATGCTGCCCTTCTGCCTGTTGCTTTCAGGGCCTTCGAGACGCAGATGACACGCCTGGAGGCTGAGTTTGTGCGGCGGGAGGCGCCCCCGTCCTACGGGCAGCTGATCGCACAGGGCCTCATCCCGCCCGTGGAGGACTTTCCCGTCTACAGCGCGTCCCAGGTGAGCTCCGAGGGCGGGAGGCCCGTCGTCCCCAGTCCCGGCCGGCCTCAGGGAGGACTGAGACAGGGTGGGGCAGACGGAGGCGGGAAGGGAGGCCAGGGAAGGGTGACATGGGGCCGTGGCCAGATGGCGAGGGCAGATTGGTCTCTTGGGCTCTCGGGTCCCCCGGGGGTCGTGCTGACCTGCCCCCTCAGCCACCGCCCACCCTCCAGGTCTCCGTGCTGCAGAACCTCCGCACAGCCATGCGGCGACAGATGCGCAGGCACGCCTCCCGCCGAGGACCCTCTCGCCGCCGGCTCGGCCGCCTGTGGAACCGGCTCTTTCACCGGCCTCGGGCACCGCGAGGACAGATCCCCCTGCTGACAGCTGCGCGCACCTCACAGACAGTGCTGGGTGACGGACTCCTCCAGCCGGCACCGGGGGCCACCCTGGACATCCCAGCACCCCTTCCGGACACTGGCAGCCCCGGGGCAGCTGAAGACGGGCCCTCCAGTGCCCCTGTCCGTGCTCCGGAGGTGGGACCTTCTGTGCTGCCCCCCTTGAGCCTGCAGGACCCGGCATACAGGCCGGTGGACAAGGACAGAAAGGCCTGCAGGGACCCTCTGATGGACAGCCCAGCTTCTGTGGACACGCCTCGGGAGCCCTGCTCGGCCCAGGACCCTCACTCCCAAGCCCCCACTGCCAGCAGCACCCTAGGCCCCCACCCTCCAGAGCCACAGGGTGTCTGCAGGAGTCCCCCACACCCCTGCTCCCCAACACTGGAGGCCAGTGACGACGAGGCCCTGCTGGTCTGCTGACCCGCCAGATGCGCTGGAGACTGCCACAGCCCCGCTTTGTAACCAGGGAATATACAGTTGTTTCTACCCTGCCTCTGCGTCCTTCTTTCTTGCAGTGCGGCCCCCAGAATCCAGCCAGCTTGCCGCATCAGCATCCCCCCTTCTGGTGGGCAAGGCAGTGGGGCTGTGGGGCTTCAGCAGGGAGGGGAGTGGAATGATGAGCCCCTCGGTGGGACCCCAGCGTCCACACAGACACCTGAGGTCTCATTTCTACCTCTCCCTTCCCCTCTCCCCCCTCCACTCTGGGAACCCATTTCCAGAGAAGCTGGAGGACCAGGGGAGAGCTCTCTGGGGTCTTGTCTGTGGCTTCTCACTTCATTCACCCTAGAGGGCGCCAGAACTGTGCCTGAACAGAACATAGCTGTGGGCACATGGAACCCGTCCACGGTAGGTCGCCCTCTGTTGGCACTAAGCTCTCCATCCTCCCAGCAGGCCCCGGGGGAGCTGGGCTAGGAGGCCTCTGCCCCCAAACTCATGCCTGTGGTATAAGCCCGGGCCTGGCCAGGCTGATGACCCTTGCCCTCTAGCTGGAAGGGCCAATCTCCTGGGCACTGGGGCACTGAAAATGTGGGTGGGGGTAGAGGAAGGCCGTGGGAGAGGCTGCTCGATGCTTTCTCGGGACAGAGCTGGGGCACAAGCTGACAGTGCCAACTCCATCCTCTCCTGTCTCAGGACCTCTGTTTCCTTTCCTGTAAACTCGGGTGAGGCATGCGCTCCGAGGCCCTGACACTCACTCCGGGGGGATTTATGGGAACAAAGGCCGCTCTGGAGGGACTCTGGACTCTCCCAGGGGATGGGAGGGGCTGAGCCTCAGCCTGGTCTTGCGGGGCCTGGGGAGGGCACACCAGCTGCTTCCCAATCCTCCATGTCCCTTTGGGGCAGAGGTGGCGCTGGACCCAACTGCCAGGCCCAGAGAGGAAGTGCCCGGCTCAAGTGGCAGAGCCCCCAGTGCAGGCCCCTCCTCAGCTCCTGCCGGCGCCGTCCCACCTGCTCCACAGGGGCCCTCGGAGTTAGGCCCACTCGGGACTCACCTGAGACAAGTGCACCGCCAGCCCTGTTTTACTCACAGATCTTTCCAGGAAAAGCCCGCAGGGCCATGCTGGCAGGGGACCTAGTCCACATCTTAGGGCTTCCTTATTATAGGCCTCTAAGAGCGGGAACTTCTTTCCCAGGAAAAACAAATTTTTTTTTTTTTTTTTTTTTTTTTTTGCAAAACACCTCCTCAACAAACAACATGTAAACAGAAATAGCTGCTTCGGGCTCCATGCGTGTCTCACTGTGTCTTCAGGGGCTTGTCCGCGGCGGAGAGCAGCGGGGAGGGCTGGCAGGGGCCGTTCTCCTCCTCCTCGGGAGCGCCCTGGGGGTAGACCACGAAACACAGCTCCTGCCCCAAGCGTGTCATTGACTCTGAGGACGGACAGACAGACAGACAGACAGATGGACCTCGGGGTCTGACCCTGCGGGGCAGGGGAGCTCAGGGAGCTGCCCCCTTTGTGGTGGGTCCTGGGCGCTGGGGCCACGTCACGGGGAGACGGTTGGTGGCGGTGAGGCCCTGCGCTGCCAGCACAGCTGCTGGTAGACCCCGCTCGGGGGAGGCTGCCCAGCTCACCCGCGAGTCTGTGCACACACTTTGGTTTGCTTCTCCAGAACACTCCCAGGAAGAAGATGGGCACCCCGGTGAGGATGATGATGACGCCGACCCCGCACACCATGGGCTCCGAGATGAAGCTGAAGACCAGCAGGAAAGCCCAGAAGACCAAGTACGCGGCAGGGACAAGGAGGTTCACCTGCGGTGAGTGAGCGGAGCGCCAGTGGTGCAGGGCCCCCTCCCGCCCCCCACCCCGGGGCCCTGGTGCTCCCCACCCTTCCCGCGAGCTGACCCCTGAGGGGCTGGTCCCCGCTGGCAGGGGCCCAGCATGCTGGAAGCCCCTGCAGGACGGCCAGCCGGCCCTGTAATTAAGGACATGTCAGTGTCAGCAGGCCCAAGCTCTCCAGGGACTGTGTGTGGACTGGTGGCCGGCCTTTGCTTGTAGGTCAGATCTTCGTTGGCCTGTCACATTTCAGGCACCGAGCACCTCTCCAGCTCAGGGATTGATTTGCAAACAATCAAACTGAGCTAAAGGAGGACTTTTCCTTTAGCTCAGTGTAGGGTCTTCTGTTTTGGTGTGAGCTCATGGACTCTTGGGCAACCATCAGCCAGTGTCTTAGCCTCATTTTTCCGTCTGCAAATGGGGAGTATTCTAACCACCCACCCCATGGGGCTGTCATGAGGACTAAATGGACCAGTGCACAGAAAATCCCCAGCGGGGCCTGGCCCGTGGCAGGAGCTGGGATCCCCCCTGCGTCAGCACCTGCCCCCGAAGCCCACGCGGGCGGAGCTCTCACCTTGATGGGCCTGTGGAGCGCCGGCCGCTTCCAGCGCAGCACGAGCAGGCCCAGGATGGTGACGCCATAGCAGAGGTAGTTGATGAAGGACACGTAGTTGATGAGCGTGTACGTGTCTCCCACAAGCAAGATAACCGCCGTGGCCCCGTACTGGGGGAGGACCGAGCTGAGGGCTGGCCTCCCTCCTGCCTCCTGTCAGCCCTGCAGGCTGTCCCGGGGCTGCGGGCTCAGGTCAGGAGGTCGGTGAGCCCTGGCCCTCCCCGCTCCCTCCGTGGGCTGCCCGCCAGGGCCCTGCCGCTGCCCACACTGCTGGTGGCTCGGGCTTCCTGCCCTGCCAGCCTGGCTCACCCAACTTACGCAGACGAGGAGGGCAGGGATAGGGGTGCAGCGTCTGACGTGGATCATGGCCAGGAGGCTGGGCAGGTGCCCTTCTCGGGCTCCAGAGAAGCACAGCCTGGGGGATAGAGGTGGGTGGGGGCTATGAGCCCGGCCGTGGGCCTCCCCACCGGCCAGATCCTGGATCTCCACTCTAGACCTGATATCCCTCCTGTTGTCACCTCTGACCCCTTGCTCTAGGCCCCAACAGCCCACCGGGCAGCTCTTCCCTGCCTCTTGCCTGCCTCCCTCTTGCTCTTTGTTCCTGAGTTGGGATCAGACATTTGCTAATGGGGAGTTCACTGTCCCAGCTTCAGGAGGGCACCCCCTGGCAGGGTTTCTGGTCCTTGGGCCCCCAGCACTGCTTGCACGCCAGGGCACCTACCTTGCCTCACCGGGACCACCCTTTCCCCAGCCCAGTCACCTGGAGGAGGTGAACAGGTAGCCATTGATCCCTCCGAAAGTGGAAAGTGCCACGGAGACGGGCATGACCCAAGAAAAATAGCCCAGCAGCTTCTCCCCGAAGGTCTGAGTGGGCACAGGAGAGAGGCAGCGCATGAAGCTGGGTGGGGGCAGGGCAGGGCTGGGGGCCGAGGGGGCCGCACTCACCACGGCCACCGCGTTAGAGGCCAGCAGCTCCTGGGGGGACATGGCGGTGAAGTAGGCGATGTTGGTGAAGGTGTACACGAAGGTGACCAGCGGGATGGAGATGAAGATGGCTCGAGGTAGGTTCCTGGGCGGCGGGGAGGGACCATCAGTGCCTGCCCTCTGGGGCGGGGGTGGGTTCCTGGGGTGAGGAGGGGGACCGGGGGGGGGGGATCCAGTAACAGGAGCAGCTCTCACCATCTCCTGCGTCTACTGGGGGCCGTGAGGGCAGGGAAAAGGGCAGCACTGCTCTCTGTCTTGCATCCCCCTCAGCTCCCTAAACCCAGCCTGAACACAGGCTGGTGGGGGGAAGGGCAGATGGGGGAGGGGCCCCACCATATCCCAAGGGGTGAGTCTAATGTCGGCACATAAAGGGAAAACTGCATACAGCCAAAGTCAGCCTTGCCAATCCCCGCAGCGCCCTGAGAGCTCAGCCCCGGACCACCCCCCCCCCCCCCCCCCCCCGCTGGGCCTCCCTATCAGCCCAGCCCCCACGGGACCTGCTCACTATGGGGTCCCTGGCTGAGCATCAGATGGAGCCCCTGGCTTCCTCTGCAGGGACCATGTTGTGTGCACATGTGTAACTTTTGGCCAAATGCAAATAGCTGGATCCTAGAGCGGAACAGTGATTGCAGTGTGTCGGAGGCCCAGCAGCGGGCTGGGACTGCCCTCGCCATTCAGGGCCAGGCTGGAACAGGAGCGCCCCGGCTGTCTGCAGCCATTCCCGGGGGCAGGCAGGTGGCCAGACCAAGCCACATGTGGTAGCAGGCCTGTCAGGGAGGCTGCCTCTCCCATCGCTGGGCGGCACTCACTTTCGAGGGTCAACTAGCTCCTCGGTGACGTAGTTGAGGAAGTTCCAGCCGCTGAAGGCGAAGGAGCCCTGCAGGAAGGCCAGGGCCAGGTGACCCACGGAGGGCGTCATCCAGAAATGGAAGGCGTTGCTGGGCCTCAGCTCCTCGAAGTGTCCTGGGGGTCCAGAGGTCAAGGGTCAGTTTCCTCTCTCCAGCCCTGGCACAGGCCCACCCTGGCCCTACCTTGGAAGATCTGGACAAAGCCCATGCCAATGATGAGCGACAGGGCCAGCAGCTTCCCGCCGGTGAAGATGTCCTGGATGCGTGTGGCCCAGCGCACGCTGGAGCTGTTCACCCATGTCAGCAGCACTGGGGGGGAGAGGCAGGGGGGCGGGGGGCGCCTGAGGCCGAGACCCTCATGGTGGGCCACAGCCAGGTCCAGCCGGAGTGCAGCAGGGTGGCATCCCCTGCAGTGTGCCTCTCCCTCTTCGTGGGGCTGGCAGTGGAGGAGCCCTCCCCCCTGCCCCCAGCGGGGGCCCCACGCCCGCGTGTGGGCACTCACTCAGGCAGGCCATGGAGAGCACACGCGAGGCTGCGGTGGGGGGGATGCAGTTGGGGAACACGGGCTGCAGCACGTAGTTGGAGAAGGTCATGGAGATGACCGCCAGGCTGGTGGGGTACATGATGAGGACTGCGCTCCAGAGCAGCAGGAAGCTGGAAGGAGTGAGCACCCGAGTGGCACAGGCATCCTGTCGCCTGCCCGGGGAGCAGCCGGGTGTGGGGCAGGGCTGCTCCCTGGGCCTGGAACCCAGGGGCTGGGGCGGCGCTGGAGGCTGGCTTCAGCCCGAGGAGGCAGCTTCAACAGAGAGTGCCTTTAGCAGTTAGAAAGCTGCACACTGCCCTTTGGCAGGTGCCAAGAACCAACTGGGGAAGCAACTACCTTTCCTTTTATTTATTTTAAATATGTTTTCATTAATTTTAGAAAGGAAGAGGGGGTGGAGAGAGAGAGAGAGAGAGAGAGAGAGAGAGAGAGAGAGAGAAACATCAATGATGAGAGAGAACCATTGACCGGCTGCCTTCTGCATGTCCCCCACTGGAGATGGAGCTGCAGCCCAGGCACATGTCCTGACTTGGAACGGAGCCATGGTCTCCTGGTTCCCAGGTGGACACTGAACCACTGAGCCACGATAGCTGGGGACTTGCCATCCTTCTAATGGCCACACAGCCCCTGGCCACAGGCTGCTTCCTGCTCTGAGGATGGGGTTGGGGCGGGTCAGCAGTCTCCGCTGCAGCTCTCCGCCGGGCCCTGAGCCGTGATGCCCTGAGGGACCAGCCCTTGCAGAGCCCTGGCTTTTCCAGCTTCTCTCTGTGGGGCGCCCATGCAGGAGTGGGGGGCCCTGCTCAAGGCTGTGAGACGCTGCTTGTTCCAGGAGCTCTGCCTGCGCCCAGGGCGGCCTGTCAGGGGGAGTGGTCCTCGCCCCTAGTCCCGCTCTCAGGAGTGGGAATTGCTTCATCCACTGACATCTCAGACACCAAGTTTGGTGGCTTCTTCTTGCTCCTCACCCTTGCTCTGTAGCCTTGCTTCCTACCCCTTGCTTTGCACCCTGCTTCAGCTCCTTGGCTTCTGGGCAATCTAACTCTACACGCCCCTTCCCCCTGCCCCCACATGCTGGGTGCTCCCTTCTGCAAACCCTTGATGCTGGATGCCTCCAGGCTGAGTCAGGAGGTAGGCTCTTGGGCCCTCTTCCCCTCCCACCTTCCCTATAGTCCTTCTACAATAGCTGCCCAGCACTAGTTCTCCTTCCCCAGGCCCCAGGCCCCTCTGAGACCTGTCCCCAGAGGAGAGCACCCAGCGGTGTGCGTGCCCTGCCAGGGCCACATCAACAGCTGCCCATTAAACCCCCTGGTCCACACTTTGTATATTTAGCCCAGATTTTTCCCCTGAGCTCAACCCAACCCCTCGCCAATGTCTGAGCATTTCCCCAGATATGCCACAGGCCCCGCCCATGTGACAAGCTCCACCCCAAGCCTCCCCCTCCCCCTCCCGTCACCACCTATGGAGGTCTGCCAGTGGGAAAGCAAGGTCACTCCCCCGACTCCCACCCCTCCCCGTGCCACGCTGGCTGCCACGTCCTCCGGAACCAGGCTCCTAAATGCGAATGGACTCGCCTGCACCTTTATTGAGGCCTCAGCATGCTCAGCTGGACAACTGCAATAGCTTTGGTCCCCTGGCTGCCCCCTCACCTCCACTCCTCCCTCCCCTCTCCTCCAAGCCCTATTGCTACCAGGGATCTGACCAGCTGGCCAGGCCACCACCCTCTGCAGGGCTCCGGCTGCTCCACAGGAGCACTCTTCCTCCGAGCTTTGGTAAGCGTGGCTTTTCCTGGGAGCCCTCCCTAGGTGGTCAGCACCCCACTCTCGTGGCTGCTGGGCCACTGCCTCTCGCACACACCCTCAAAGCTGGGCCCGTTCGGTTTTGAGCACTTTTGAGGAGTGGTTTCCCTTCTGCACCGTGAGGACAGGGGCACCTCTTTTCAGTTCACACTGTGGGTGCAGCGCATGCTCACTGGGGAGCAAAGGCGTATCGGGCGGGAGCCAATCAAAGAGGAGCTCGGGCAGGGCGCTGACCGGAGCACCAGGCCCCTCTTCCCACTCCTCCCCCCGCCTCCCCCACCCCCCCCCACACACAATAGGCTGAGGAAGCCCAAGGCCATCTTTGCCCGATGCTAGCATGGCCTGGAGGTTTCAGATAGTAAGGGCCTCTCCATCCAGAGCATTGGGTGGGGAGTGGGGCTTAGAGACAGCTTTATTTAAAAGAAAACAGAGCGTTCCGGGGGCCCGCTGCAGTGTCCAGTTTGAGTGAGTGGGCACTGTTCTCGCCCACCCTGGCCTTGGAAGGTGCTCAACAGCCCCACCCCCTTCCCTCCACCCATTCCCAGGAGCTTCCTGTGATGTGAGAAGCAGAAGAGGAAACCCAGGTGCAGGCTCGCCGGCTGTCCGTTCTGGAGAGGCTCCCCACCCACCACCACGCCCTGGTGCCGCACTTACCCGGCCAGGCCCCCGAAGATCTCCGTGACGTAGGCATAGTCCCCGCCGGACTTGGGGATGGCCACGCCCAGCTCCGCGTAGCAGAGGGAGCCCAGGGCGGTGACGCCCCCGCCCAGGACCCAGACGAACAGGGCCAGGCCCACAGAGCCGGAGTGCTCCAGGACGCCCTTGGGGGAGATGAAGATGCCGGAGCCTATGATGTTCCCTGTGGGGAGACAGAGAGGCATCAGCCTTCCCCGTGGGCTGCAGGCACTCCGTGAGGACGGGAACCCAGGCTGCTCCCCCGAGGAGGAGAGAGGAGGGCCTGGAGGCGTGGATGCCCCTGCAGCTCCACTCGGGGCTGATCATGTCTGTAGTCCCTGGCATGGGAGCGGCACCTTGTCCATTCAGCCAGGCTCCCCTGACAGAGATGGCTCCTGTTTCTCTGCCCGCCCCCACCCCCCACACTTACTCCCATGAGATGGAGCAAGCAAGGAGGCTCAGCCATCTGAGTGATGGCAGAGTGGGGGCCCAGGTCAGCCCTTCGCCCCCAGCTGAGGCCTCCAGTTTTTTAAAGCCCCCAGTCACCTGTCCTACTTCCAATCTGCTGGCCAAAGCTGGCCCGTTAAAGCAAGTCCTTGACCATGACACTTTCCTACTGGCTGAAGTCCCAACTCATGGAGTGACTCAGGAAGAGGCACCTCCTCCATGAAGCCCTCCTTGACCACGCTGGTTTGGGCGCCCCTTCCCCCTGCACAGCCCTGTGGTTCCCCAGCCTGTGCCTCCATCTCCTCTTTCCCTGTCAGAGAGCTTCTCTGCTTGCTTCCTGGGTTCCTGGAGGCCCCAGGCCAGGGCCCAGGCTACAGGCACAGACTCTGATGAGACCTGGCACTGTGGCAATGCTTCAGGGTTTGGGCAAGGGCCAGAGGGTCCGTATTCAGTGTTGGGGATTGGTCCACAGCCATCATGCAAGGAGTGGAGAGGGCACTAGAGTGGGACTCTTGGCCCAGCCTGGGGTCTGGGCACGGACCGCCTCTGTCCTTGGGCCAGCCCACTAGCTGCAAACAGGTCACTGCTCTAAAACCAGGACTCCAATGGGAAATGCTGGCGGGGGCCCAGGAGACCAGCCCTCTCCCCGCTCAGGTCACCTCTCGGGTCTGTCTGCACAGCGGGACTCTGAGGGTTCAGTGAGATACGGTAAGGGAAGCCTTCAGCCGTATCCTTCATGTGCATGATTCTGTGCGCTCTCTGCAGCCTCACCTGCTTCCACTCACCTCGACTCTGCAGCACATAGTAGGTGCTCAGCACACATGTGTTGAGCAAACTCATAGAAGAATAAATGACCTAATGCCCCAGGATGGCATCAATGTCCTGATGCAAATGACTGATTTCCTCACCTCTGAAGTGGGGGCAGCAGTCTCCATTCAGCCCCCCCAGGAGGCACCGTGATGGGGAGCAGAGGGTGGTTGGCTTCCAAGGTTCACAAGTGAACCTGCTGGGGTCATGGAGGGTCTGCCCCGCCCCTGGGGCCATGTATTAGGGGACGGGGACAGTGCTCCTTCGACTCACAGTGTCTGGGGTGGAACAGAGGGAAGTACTCAGGGGCCACCTCAGGGTCTGCAGGGCAGTTCCCAGGATAAGCAAGACTCTGAGCACCCACTGAGGCCTGAGCTCCCTGCCAATCAGAGCAAAGAGGGAGCAGTGTTCGGGGCGGCTTGGGTTTCATCATCTGTGCAAACGAGTCAGGCCATGTCACGGGTGGTTTGCATGAGAGCCTGCCCCGGAGGACAGAATCCCAGGATCCACAGGCCACCTCCTCTGGACGCAGGGCTCAGCCCCTCAACGGGCTCGCCCCTCTGCCAGGGCCCTGCGCGGAGCGCACCTCCACCGGCCCAGAGCCCGCTGCTCCGCCCGCCACGCCCACGGGGTCTGGAGGAGGACACTGCTGCGGCAGCCCATCAGCATGCGTTCCTTGTCCACCCTTGTCCACCGTGCTGCCCTCACCCCCACCCCCGGCCGACACAGATTCCCAGTCTGACGGCCACGACGGCCCACTTGGTTTTCCAGTCACGTCCCAGGAGCCCTAAATACATCCAGATAAGGACGAGGGAACGTCCGTCCCCCGGCCGCTCAGCCTGCTTCCCCGGGGGAGGCACAACCCCCCTCGCCCGCTCCGGGCCCGGGGCCTGGGTGGGCTGGTGGGTTTCTGAGACGCATGGAGTTCGCTGCACCTGGCAGGAGAGTCAGTGTTCTCAGGACCTGGTGGAGTGGGAGTTGCCAACACCATGTGGTCGGAAGCCAGAGGGGGCTGGCGGCCTTGCCAGGAGCTAGGTGCACTGGGGCTAGGACATCCAGAGTCCGGACCTCGCACTCGGTGGGGGCCCCACCACTCGACACAATTCGGCTTGGCAGGGCTCAAGGGCACAGCACTCAGGGAAGCCAGCCTGGGACCTTGTGCTGGAGGCTGGGATCCGGGAGGGACATATCACCAGCCGGTGCCCAGAGGCTGGGACCTGGGGAGGGCTGGGGGTGAGGGATCACCATTGTCTGGGACACGTGGCTCAGGCTACAGCGAAGGACCACTCCCATGTGGCTCAAAGGAACAGGTGGGCAGCTAATGCCTCAGGTCCTGGGCGCCTGGACAGCTGCAGGCTTGAGCCAGAAGGGGCAGGAAGCCCAGTGGAGGTCCATGGGCTGCTCTCCACACCGTAGCACATGGCCAGGCAGAGCTCTGCATGGAGCATCCGGGGCTGTGGGCTGGGGGAGCGGCAGAGGGCAAGGAGGGGCACAGGGTTGGGGCCTCCGGAGCTTGGATGATGACAGGGGGTGTGGGGACGGGGCACGGAGCTGTGAGGAGGAGCTGCGGGGTGCCTGCCCAGCGCTCTGGTGGTGGGGGCAGGCCTCCCTCCCAGTCCGGCCTGATTCAGGGATGGCAGTGGCCAAGCCCAGCTGCCGGGGGAAGCAGAGGAGGAACAGGAACCAGGAACATGGGATGGGTTGGGGCACACTGCCAGGTGCCTGCCTGATGGCGGGCTGGAGAGATGTGGTTCCAAATCTTCCATGTTCCCATCCATCCAATGGGACAGCTGTTCTGTGATCCCTGCAGGTGCTGTGGTGGTGGTGGGGGGAGAGCAGAGCTCCTGGGCTGGTGGACAGGATGTGATGAGGCCTCTTCCCGCCCCTGCTCCCTTCCCTGCTGGTGGTTTTTATCACATTAAGATGTTGGGCCTGAAGAGGCTTACCCAGATCCGGCAGGAATGCAGAAAGGGCCATTGTTCTCCTGGCTGTTGCGGTGCACACTGGCCTATTTCTGAGAACGGAGGACCATGAAGGTCACAGGGGTGGACTGTGGAGGTGGTGGTGGCGGGAAGAGCTAGCTGCCTTTGGTGTGTGTGTGTGTGGGGGGGGGGATTCCTAATCTGACTGGGGAGCAGGCAGGAAGGTCCTGTCAGGCTGCCGGCATCACCCTTCAGCCCTAGAAACTCTTTCAGGAGTTGGCTGTGTAGCCTCAGTTTCCCCTTCTGCCAGGTATCACCACTTGGATAAGGGGCAGCAAAAGGTTGTTCCAACCCTGACTTTGGCAGGGGCACTGCTGGGCAGGGTGCATATATCCTGTACATCTGCAAGGTCCCCAAGGAAACACTGCTCCCCACTGTGAAGGTCTCTCCCCAACTCACTAGCCTCCCAGAAGCAACACCACCCCCAGGAAGCCCCTTCTGACTGCCCACCTTGGCCAATAACTTGGACCCTGCCTCACTGCCCTGGCATCTGGAAGACGGCCAGGAAGTGATTCCTTTATGTGCACCCCTCCCTCCCAGAAGGACAGGGAGCTCACCGGGCTAGGCCACCTCCTACCTGCCTTGCCTGTCCCTGACTCTTTCAGAAAGCAGGGTCGCATTGCCCTGCTGGGCCTGATCCGGGGCTGGCCATAGGCCAGGCCTCCTTCCTTTGTGCTGGGCAATGAGCCCTAGCACCTCCCCTTAGGGCTTGATCAATGAGGCCTTGGCTTCCAAATTCTCTGGAAGATACAAAAGCTGCAAAGAGCTTCAGATTCCCACTGGCAGAGCCCAAGGTCCCTAGGCCATGGGCAATGGCACTTACTAGTTGAGACTCCCAGATCTGGGTTCGAATCCCAGTTCCCTTGTGATGGGGTCTGTGGACAAGGTACTTTATCTCTCAGCCTTGTCGGTAAATGGGGAGATGAGGCAGTGATGTGGGCATGCTCCCGCCCCGGCTGGCACATTGGAGGCCCCAGGAAGTACCCAGGATCTTAGTTAGCTTTGTCATCCCCTTTAAAGACACCTCAGGCCGCCCTCTCTGGTCTTTGGAGGGCTGACCCTCATGGGACCTCAATGCCAATGGGGTCAGAAGTCATGGCCCTAATTGGGGTCCCTGCTATTGGCCTGTGCTTTTAAGCACACAAATGTCCTTATAGTGAGTCTGTCAGGCACCCCTCCAGGGGGACAAGAGTGCCTGCCGAGGTCTTGGCAGAACTCTAGGGAGGTGAGTGGGGACATTTCCAGGACATGTCTGGAATTGCCAATTGGCTGGCATGAATGTCCAGCCTAACCAATTTTCCTTTTGAGAGGGGGCTGAGCCGAAGTGTGGAGCTCTCTCTGCCTGGCTCGCTCAGCCCAGCCCGGCCTCATGCGTGCCTGTCTCCAGACTGAGTCTCGCCGGTGCCTGGGTAAGCTCTCTGCTGCTGCACCCAGCAGTCAAGCCCAGGCCTCATCATCAGCCTCATCGTCACCCTCAGGGCAGCCTTCTGGCCTCCTTTCTCCTCACTGGCTGCTCCTTCTCCAGTCCTCTGCTGGTCCCTTCTCGTTTCTCCTAAATCCTGGACAGCAAGTGCCTGGGGCTTAGTGTTGGGGCCTCTTCCTTTTCTTTCAACACTCACTCCCCTTGGAGACCTTATCCAGTACCCCAGTTTTTGCTGGAAACTCCTAAATCCCTAGCACGACCTCCTAGCTAAACTAAACCAGTGTAACCAATTGATTACTTGACAAACAGACACCACTCCTCTCACACGCTCAAAACAGGGTTCCCGGCTGTCAGCCCCATTTCTCCCAAACCCGCTCCTCTCAGTCTTCCCCCATCAATACATGGCAGCCCATGCTCCCACCTGCTCAGACCCAACCGTGGTGCCACTCTTGCCTCCTCTTTCCCCACATCCTCTGTCCTCACACATCCTTCATCGTCACAAATCCCTTCCCTCTGCCTACCGAACACACCACAACGGAATCTCCTCTTAGCACCTCCCCTGCTGGCGTCCTGCTCTGAGCCTCTGTCCTCTCTTACCCAGGTGACTCGAGTGCCCTCCTGGCCAGGCTTCCTGGTTCTGTCCTTCCTGCCTCTGCTCCCTGGGGAGCCCCATTGCATCCCCTCCCCTCCCTACCCCTCCCATCCCATCTCATGCCATCCCTCTTCTGTTCCAAGCCATCGAAAAAGAAAAGAAGCCAGAAAACTTGGATCCCACCCCACTCCTGACTCTATACTCCTGCTCTCTGCAATCCTCTCTCCTGCCTTAATTTTCTCACCTTAGCACACCTGGCATTACTCTGCCAGCTGAGCATCCAGCTGATCTTCTTTGCCCTTTGACTTCCATGCTGGCATGTCAGCTCCAGCAAGACAAGGATATGTCTGTGCTGCTCCCTGTGTGTCTCCAGCACCCAATGGTTAAATAGGTGGATGAGTGTGTCCTGTGCTGGCAGGTCCCACCCTTGTAGTTAGAGCTGCCTCGGCCCCCAACAGCTTCCCTGAGCACACAAGGGCATCTGACTCTGGGCTGGCTGCAGACTCAGGCCCTCAGTTTCCTCTTCTGTACACTGGGGCTGTGGCGAGGCACAAAACAGCTCCTGTGTGGTTTAATGCCTCCTGGGGTCTGGGTGAGGAGGGGGCCGGGGTTCTGGAGAAGGCCATGCTCTCAGCAGCCCAACCACCTCCCGTCCTGAAGAGCCACAGAGAGGGGCCTGGGAGGGCAGGATTAGCTCCTAAGGAGATGGATTCATGAAGCGGATCCCTGAGCCCCTGAACATACTTAGGTCTGATCTACAAAGCCCTACATGGGCTGGATACTTGAGTCAAAGGGAGAGAGTGGAGGACAGGACAAGGCAGGCTGGTCAGCAGACAGGGGTGACTCCCACTCTGCTCGACCTGGGCACATCCCTCCCTTGGGTGTGGATTGAGAGGGAACTGGCTGAAGTCCCCGCGTCAGGACAAGACACCCTGTACGTGCAATCCTGGGTGGGGTGTGGGGGATGGGGGAGATTTCTGTCTACCTGTTCACCCAGCCATAATGGAGTGGAGAGCACTGTAAGCCCCCTTCCCAGTGCAGTCTTTACCCTTCCCCATAAGGAACATGAATCTGGCCCCGGTTTTGCCCAGCACCAGAGCGGTATGGAGACGGGCCATGGACTGGGAAATGAACCCTCATCTGCTCCCAAACCCTGAGCCCACCCCCTGCAGCAGTGTCATGCAACTTCCAGCCTCAGTTTCTACATTTGTAAAATAGGTGCACAAGCTTTCATCTTGAAAGGCAAACATGAAAATCAAACGAGATAAAAAGACATGTTTTGTATAGTGATAGGAAGTGGTTTCTGCCAAAACCGGTTTGGCTCAGTGGTAGAGCGTCGGTCTGCGGACTGTAGGGTCCTGGGTTCGATTCCGGTCAAGGGCATGTACCTTGGTTGCGGGCACATCCCCGGTAGGGGGTGTGCAAGAGGCAGCTGGTCGATGTTTCTCTCTCATCTACGTTTCTAGCTCTCTATCTCTCTCCCTTCCTCTCTGTAAAATGTCAATAAAATATATTAAAAAAAAAAAGAAGTGGTTTCTGAATAGATATTGCATAAGGCAAGGCCTTCCACAGCCCCACCCCAGCCGGCTCTTTTTCGTCCAGGCTGTTCCCCTCCGGTGCTGTGCTGTCCCAAACACATTTTAGGTGGAGTCTTATTCCAGCCCAAAGCCCTTCCCGAAAGCCCCGCTCCTCAGCCTGGGACAGGGCCGGGGGCACAGGGAAGGGAGAATAGGATCTCCTGGGAAGTGTATCTGAAAGCTTTGGAGGTAAGGTCAGTAGCTGGTAACAAAAAATTATGGAGTAAGGTTAAAGCTAAATTGTGATACTTTACAGACATCTTTGATTTTGAGCAGGTTCCCCAGAACAGGAAGGTGGGATGTAGGCCGCCTAGAACAGTGAATGGGAGTTGGTGGGGCCTTCAGGCATCAGGTGGGGAGGGCAGAGGAGACCCTGACTCAGTCCATACCTTCCTCCTCCCTCCTCTCCCGTCACTTCTGTTCAGGTTAATGACCCCCAGGCCTGGCTCCTGCCCACTCCAGCCTCTTGTCTGCTGTTACCATTCAGAGCTCCCCAAGCTGGGCTACTGGACCACCACGGAGTGTCCGGAGCTGGGGTCAGGCCTTCTGGGTTCTGCTCTTGAGTTTGCCACCCTTGGGGAGGCAAAGGAGGAATACAGCTCAAGGACATTGGGCTTGCTGAGGTGGCCCGGGAAGAGCACTGCAGCTGGCTCCAGACGGGCCTCTGGCCCCAGCCTCTGGGCCCCTCCACGATGTGTGGGCTTCCCCTTCCGGGGGGCACAGCTCCGGGAAAGAGTGCGGGCCGGGACAAAGCTCTATCAGTGCCCTGGCCAAACCTCTGGAACCGGCCCGTCCTGCCAGCTGATAGCCAAGCGGGGGCACCCTAGGCCAAGAAGGTGTCAGGGCCAGGCCAGGACCCGCTCCTGGAAGAGGCCATTCCGGGGCGATGAAAGGCAGAGAGCTACCTGCACTGGGGCTGTGTTCTGAGGCAACTCTTGCTGTGGGGACAGGGACTAGCCAAGAGCCAGCGCAGCCAGGTCCAGGGGCTCCCAGCATGGAGCAGAGGAGGGGGTGAGGATCTCCGTCTGCCCTCCGAGCCCTGAACTCTCTCCATGCCCAGGGGTCTGGAAATGGTGGGCAGTGGATGCACCAGCAGTTCCCACTGGCTGGGGAGGTGGCAGGTTGAGACCTGTCCTTCACCCTCCAGCCATGACTCCTGGGCTCAGGAAGGTCTCTGAGGCACCTGGCATGACACAGGCACAGGTCTGCTTAGCCGGTTCCCAAGAAGTCAGTGTCTATGACTTGGGACTGAAAGAGGAAGATCCTCCCACTGTCCTCACTGTCCCTGAGCCCGCTGTCTACCTAGAAGTCCCCATGTGGGGGCGGACACACAGAGGAAGCTGGGATGCGAGTGCCTTGTTGGGATCCCACTCAGGAGCAGCTGGCTTTTCTGTAGGCTTGGTCCGTCCCACCTCAGCAATGGCCTCCTCCCCATCAAGCTGCAAGAAATATGCCCTGAACCTATTTCCCCACGGGGCTGGCTCTGTCTGACAAGTCTCCCCACAGGCCCTCCTGCGTCTGAGACTAAATCACTCCCACAGCTCGGCCCTGGGACCGTGCACACAATAGGGACTTAGCTTGAGCTGCAGCCCAGAACTTGTGTCCAGCCCCCACTCTTGCAAGGCTCCTGCGCTTCAGGCAAAACCATGATGCTGTCCACTTCATAGACGAGAAAACGGAGGGTAACTGGCAGGCCAAAGCCCGCAGCCAAGTAAAGGCAGGACGAGGATCCCAGCTGCGGGAGCAACGCGCACCTCCCTCACGCACAAAAGTTCGAGGCGCCTGGGGAGGCGGGAACAAGAAGCCTGAGGTCCCCTGTGAAGGGCGGCCCTGCAGGTGCTCTCACCTGTGGTCCCACCGCCAGGCCAGGTGCGCCCCAAGCCCTCAGCCCCGCCTCCCCGGCCCCGCCCGCCGGGCCGCTCACCGATGATGATGGTGCAGGCGCTCACCAGCCCGATCTCCTTCTTGAGCGTCACCGGCTCCGAGGCGCCGGGGCCCGGGCCGGGGCCGGGGGAAGGCGAGGGCGCAGGGCCGGGCTTCCCGCGCCCGCTGGGCTGCTGCGTGCGGCCGGCCATGTCGCTGTCCCGCCGCGTCCCCGCTCCTCGCGCTGCCCCGTCTGTCCGATGGGCCGCCGGTCCGTGGGTCCGTCCGACTGTCGGGGAGCGGACCGCGCTCGCAGGCGGGCGCATGCGCTGGCGCGGGGCCCGGGCTGTGCGCCCCCGGGGCCGGGGCCAGGGAGCGGAGGAAGGAGGGCCGCGGCAGCCCCTTCCCCCACCTCCCTTAAAGGAAACTCCCGGCCCCTCCTCAGGGCTTGGGGGGGGGGGGGTTGGGGGCAGACCCAGGAGGAGCTTTCCTAGCTGAGCAGAGGAAGGGCCTCCTCTGCCTGAGTGCCCTCCACTCCCGGGCCCTGCAGGAGGGAGCCGGATTCCCCGGCGGGGGTGGGGGTGCAGCAGAGCTCAAAGGCTAGCCGGCCCGGCCCTCACGGAGACCGTGGGAGCTGGCAGGGAAGCTGCCTTTGTGTGGGGACCCACTGTGTGCAGCCCTCCCTCCGCGCTCCTTGAATTGTGGCACCCGGAGCGCGCGTGGGGGGCGGGGGGTGTGAGGTTGAGTGGAAGCTGAGGCCCAGAGATTGCTAACAGCAAGTGTCAGGCCACTAACACCAGCCCTTTCTGGGCCTCCTTGGTTTCCAGACGGTGGGTGACGGCGGGGCGTCTGGCAGGTCCAGGTGCAGACGCTGAGCCATAGGCTAGAGCCTGGGACCAGCGGCCCAGAACTCTGGTCTCTGGGAAGGACCGCGCGGTCCAGCCTGGTCTGGCTCACGATGAGCCCCTCCATGCCGGGAGACAGGACTGTGGCTTCCAGGTAGCAGGAGATCAGGCTTGCGGGGAGCTGAGGGAGGTTGCCTCTTCCTGGACTCCCTCGGGGACTGCCCCCCCTTCCGCGGGAGCAGACACAAGGAGGGCGGGGGGGTGGTGGCGGGGAAGGCGCATGGGGCCCACCGGAGCTGCGGGCGGGGAGCCTGGCACGGTGCAGCCGGCGGCGGAACAGCCTTTGTCCTTTGCTGGCGGCCGCCTCCTCGCGCCGTCCCCTGCATGAGGATGAGGCCAGCGGGGAGGGGGGCGCTGCCTGGGGTCCGGCAGCCTAGGGCGGACAGGGGGTGGCGCTGGGCCTGGAGTTGGAACTGGGATCTGGGGCATGGAGGTGTGAGCCTGGTGGTGCAGGCTGAGAAGGGACTTTGCAGTTGGGGACGAGGACCTGGGAGTAGGGAGCAGATGGACCCTGGGTGGACATCCTGGGGGGACAGGGGGGAGGCCACCCGTAGTGGAAGGAGGCATTCTTGGCACCCTCTGCCTCCCGCCCCAGTGAGCCTCATCCAGTGGCTGGCTCTCTTAAAGGAGCCTCTCGCCAGGGTGGTGGAGTGGGTGAGGGGAGGCAGCAGAGTTCTGATTCCCCAGGGGAGTCCTGATCGCCTGCTGGCTTGACTCCCCATATCCAGCCACTGGCAACTCGGGGGCTAGAGCACCCTGGGGGTGGCAGGAGGCTCCCTGGCAGGAGCCCGGGGCTGTGGAGTGTGAGCCCCCTGCACCTGGATCGGGCGTGTGGAGAAGGGCTGGCTCCAGCCGCACAGGAAGGAATTGGCATGGCGCTGCTGCGGCCACCGCTCAGGAGGTCATTTCAGTGGGGCTGAGCTAGGACCTGCACACCGCAGTGGGAAGAAACGGTTGGTAAACTTGCTTTCCCATCCCAAAGTCAATCAGTACAGCTCCCCACAGTAACAGAGAAAAACAAAGAAAACCACAGGATCTTCTCAATAGATTGAGAAAACCGTCATCTATGATTTAAACAAACAAAAACTTTTAACAAACCAGGAACAGGAGAGAACTTGCTCAATCTGATAAAGATATCTACCCAAACCCAAACCCCATCAAGAAACAAACAAACAAAGAACAACATCCTACAATTAAAATCATGCTAATGGTGAAATGGTGGGTGCATTTCCATTGAGACTGGAGATGAGGAAGAATGTTAGCATTCTTCAATCACATACACCACTGAGGAGGAGGTCCTAGGGAACAATAAGGCAAGAAAAGGAAGTAAAAGGCACACTTTCTAGTAGCCAAAATCCACACACTGGTAGTGTCAAGTGCTGGCGAGGATGTATAGCAATAGGAACTCTCATTCGTTGCTGGTGGGAATGTAAAACAGTACAGCTACCTTGGCAGTTTCTTATAAAACTAAAACAACTCTTACCATACGATCCAGCAATGGTGATCCTTGGTATTTATCCAAAGAAGTTGAAAACAGACCCACATAAAGATCTGCACATGGATGTTTACAGCAGCTTTTTTCACAATGGCCAAAACTTGGAAGTGGTCAAGATGTCCTGCAGAAGGTGGATGGATACATAAACCTTGGTACAGCCACTCAATGGAATAGTCTTTAAAGCTAGAAAGAAAGGAGCTGTCAAACCATGAAATGAGAGGGAGAAAAGTTAAATGCATGTTACTAACTAAAAAAAGCCAGTCTGAAAAGCAGTAAAAAGCTATGAAGATAGGAAAGAAAAACATATAACTATCATTCAATGTGACATAATTGAGTAGAAAAATCTAAACAATTTATAAGTAAACTTAACGTTAATTAATTAACTTATCACTGGGTATAAGTTCAATATACAATAAAAAACTGATTGCATTCCATTATGCCAACAACAATTAGAAAATTAAATTTATAACAGCATAAAAATCAATAGCTAAAAATAAATTTAGTGAATTATGCGTACAATTTACACACCGAAACCATAAAACATGACACTATGTAAGATGTAAGGTAATTGAGGGATAGTCTCTATTCATGGGTTAGAATTTAAGATGTTGATTTTTCTCTAGGTTGAACTATAGAATTGATCTATAGATCCAATGCACTCAAAATCCCAAGGGTTTTGCTGAGGTTTGCTTGATTTTTTTTTTTTTAATGAAACTTGACAAACTGAGTCTAGAATATGGATGAAGAAGAACAAAGGTGGAGGAGTTATCCCACAGCTAGGGAAACAGTTCGGTTTCTGTGCAAGGAAAAACCAACCAACCAGAAGAACGAAACGGAAGATGCAGAAACATACTCATTCATCTATGGACACCTGGTTTATCACCACAAAGTTGACATCTCAGGGCAGTGGAGAAAGGGCAGACTTTTCAATAAATGGTGCTGGAGTACCCTGGCCAGTGCACTCAATGGTTAGAGCATCTGCCTGCACACTTTAGGGTTGCAGGTTCGATTCCTGGTCAAGGCATATACCTGAGTTGTGGTTCGCTCCCCAACCCTGGTTAGAGTGCCTGCCAGAGGCAACAGTTGATGTGTCTCTCTCACACTGATGTCGCTCTCTCTTTCCCCCTTCCCTCCCCCTCTTCCACTCTCTTTGAAAAAGCAATGGGAAAAAATATCTTCATGTGAGGATTAACAACAACAACAACAAAAATGGTTCGGGAACAATGGTGCAGGGCCGTGGAGCCTTCCCGAAGGGCTGTCCTGTCTGTGGTGAGTGCGGCTGGTGAGGGTTAGATGGCACAGCTAGGGGGAGACCCAATAGAACAAGCCCTCAGCCCCCCCCCCCCCCCCCCCCCCCGAGGGCTGAGGAGCAGGTAAAACCCGAGCGGCTTTTCCCTCAAGGGCGGAGGCTCCTCAAGACAGGGCAGGAGGAAGATGGGAGCTGGGAGCATCACTTTTGGGAAGCTGGTGGCTCCTGGAGAGGGTCTCCTCGGCTGGGAGCAAGGAGAGGGGCAGAGGGAAGGTGGCCGAGGCTCCACACTGAGGCGCTCTGCCTCAGCACCTGGCAGTGCCTACGCACCTTCCACATGAATCGGAAGGCCGTGCCATGGCAATGACCTTGCCTACAGCCCTAACCTGGCTCACCCAGTAGCTCTCTCTGTACCCACTTGGCTCCAGCCACACGGCTCCTTAAGCCGGCACACTCCTGCCTCAAGGCCTGTACTTGCTGTTCCCTCCGCCTGGAATGCTCTTCGCAGGCATCCTCAGGGCTGCCCACGGGCCCCTTCTCAGGAGGCTTTCTGTGACCTTTCCATTGCAAAGCGAACCCCACTTCAGCGCTTCCCCTTCACTCTGTCCTGCTTTTCTCCCTGATCACCATTTGAAATTCTATGTATTTTTAAAAATATATATATTTTATTGATTTTTTACAGAGAGGAAGGGAGAGAGATAGAGAGCTAGAAATGTCGATAAGAGAGAATCATTGACCAGCTGCCTCTTGCATACCCCCTACCGGGGATGTGCCCGCAACCAATGTACATGCCCCTGTCCAGAATCGAACCTGGGACCTTTCAGTCCGCAGACGAACACTCTACCGCCGAGCCAAACCGGTTTCGGCTGAAATTCTATGTATTTTACTTACTCAGTTTTGTTGCTGTCTCCCCCACGAGCCACACTAGATCGTAAGGGGCCTCAGACCAGGATACCCTAAGGCCTCGGGAGAATTTGAGGGGTGGGGAAAACAGTGCACCAGCCCAGTATGTGCAAAGGTCCAGGAGGTGCCATCCTCCTGTCCCAACCCCACCCTCCCAGGCACGAGGGTACAAGGAAAATGTATGCTGAAAGGGAAAAGCACAAAGCTTCTAGAAGAAGATGTGGAGAGAATAGATTTATTTTCTTAAACAGGGCACAAAAAGCACTATTAGTAAGAAAGTGATAAAAGCACTATTAGCAAAAAAGTGATAAATCGGACTACATAAAATTAGAAACATCTGTTAATCAAAAGCCATGATTGAGAGAGGGAAAAGTAAGCCACATATGAGAAAAAGTTATTTCAATACATTTTTATAATAAAGGACTTGCATCTAAAAAAGAGAAAAATGACTTCAAATAAATAGGAAAAAGGCTTTAAGCAGGTGCTTCACAAAAGAGGCTGTCCAATGGCTGGCAACTCCCGAACAGTCAGCAGGGAAATGCAAATTAAAACCAGAATGAGATACTATTTCACACCCACCAGAATGCTTGAAGTTAAACACCAGCGGTCCTAGCTGGTTCGGCTCAGTGGATAGAGCATCAGCCTGTGGATTGAACGGTCCCTGGTTCGATTCCGGTTAAGGGCACATGCCTGGGTTGCGGGCTCAATCCTCAGCAGGAGGCATGCAAGAGGCAGCCGATCAGTGGCTCTCTCTCATCATTGATGTTT